GGAGGGCTGCAGTGATGGTTGACTTTCTTTGACTTTCTACAACTTTCTCCCATCTCCCGACTGCATCTCTGGAGCTCAGCCACAGTCATCTTTGGGTTCTTCTGTACTTCTCTCACCAAGGCTCTTCTCCCCCGATAGCTCAGTTTGGCCGTACGGCCAGCTCTAGGAAGGGTTCTGGTTGTCCCAAACGTCGTCCATTTAAGGATTGTGGAGGCCACTGTCCTCTTGGGAATCTTAAGTGCAGCAGAAATTTTTTTGTAACCTTGGCCATATCTGTGCCTTGCCACAATTCTGTCTCTGAGCTCTTCAGGCAGTTCCTTTGACCTCATGATTCTCATTTGCTCTGACATGCACTGTGAGCTGTAGGGTCTTATATAGACAGGTGTGTGGCTTTTCCTAATCACGTCCAATCAGTATAATCAAACACAGCTGGACTCAAATGAAGGTGTAGAACCATCTCTGGGATGATCAGAAGAAATGGACAGCACCTAAGTTAAATATATGAGTGTCACAGCAAAGGGTCTGAATACTTATGACCATGTGATATTTCAGTTTTTCTTTTTTAATAAATCTGCAAAAATGTCAAATTCTGTGTTTTTCTGTCAATATGGGGTGCTGTGTGTACATTAATGAGGAAAAAAATGAACTTAAATGATTTTAGCATATGGCTGCAATATAACAAATAGTGAAACATTTAAGGGGGTCTGAATACTTTCTGTACCCACTGTAAATGCTGGGTGCATTTTAATGACACACACTGGTCTTTGTATCACTGCTTTCTAGTACCATAGGTTCAGAGACTAGGTTCCATTTGTATTCAGGTCATTTCTGGACCATTTATCTAGTCTAAATAATGCACAGAATATCTGGTGTATTTAAGGGTAAAGCCATTATATTAATACTTTCAGGAAAATGATAGAATAACATTTTTTTCATATGCTGAAACTGTTTTGGTCACTGTTAACATTTCTCCGGTTCACACTGGCACTAAAGAAATCCTTTCACAGCACAATTATACTGGGAATGACAAGGGCAAAAATCTAGTTTTCATTCTTTGCAAAATGATTTCTAGACTTCATCCAAAGCTTTATGAGGATTCAGCAAAATGACCTATTGAGTGGTTATCTTCTAAAGTTAGTTTTCTCACTACCCTGGGCAGTGGAGGGAAGGTTCCACTTGATTTGGTTCAGACTGCCTAAGCCACATGGTCTTCAGCTGAACTTGTACATTTCACACAGAACAAGGCCTGCTGATGTCTTCCATTCAAATCTTACTGGGATCTTCACAGGCTCCTCGGCCAGCACAGACAGGATGAACCTATCCTTTAAACCTTAGTCAGTAAGGATGATGTTTTGTTTGAGGTAGTGTTATTTCTAACACCTAGGGCCCACACAAAGTGCACTGAGCAGCAGTTGGAGCATAGTTTATCGAAACACCTACCAATGTCTTTGGCTTTAGCTGCAATTGGCCTGCGCAGATCCTTGACAAACTTCTTGGCGTCCAGGCGGATCTCGATGATGTTATTCAGAAGAGCAAAGAGTGGAGCCAGAGGGAAGGAGGCCACAAAAAGAGTCACCATCCCAAACTGGATGACTAACAAACAGACGACAGGAGAAATGAGTAGAAGTTACTGGATGAACACAATTCAGTACTGGAATGCTAGACAGACTGTGAACCACCAAGTTTGGGTGACATGATAAAAGTTAAAACATGTTAAATGCAGTGGGGGACAATAGATTACTGGTAACACAAGGAATACAAATAGCCTGTTCGACTCAGCTGATCACTCATGAATCCAGCTGGGTTGATAGTGGTGTCTTTGTGTGCTTTTTACACCTATTGGATTTATATGGAAGCAGGATCAGCAGGCAGCTGGTGCTGAATGACAGTGCAATGCAGCTGAAGCAACCCCATTAGGAAAGAGGAATTAGGAACGCTTTTGCTGGTTGGCAGTTAATTTGCTACTGTAAAACTCCATATTAACTACTATTAATGCTTCAAAAAATTAAGTTTCTCATGTTGCATATATATTTATGGTGTAAACTTTAGGTTTGAAGGCTCTGCATTAGGCAGAGCAGAGGTCATAGGTTAGATTAAGGTTGGGGTCAAGTTAAGCATCATAAAACATGACTGGCTAGGTTTAGGCTGAAGGTGAGGTTCACTCTGGCATATGGAGAAACATATCTAACAGATTCCACCTCCACCACGATCTATTGCTGAGTCTTGGTATCTAAGCCTGAATTAAGCTCTGTAGCTGTTGGGGTGCTGCATGTGCACCCTCTGTTGACTTGGCAGCCAACTGAATGTTTGTGCACTCATGTTCAAACTCACTCATCTCCATGTACTCTGGGTTGAGGCCAACAAAAGGACCCAGGAAGTGGTCCTTCTCGTAGCGCTGCAGAGTTTCATTCAGTTCCTCCTCTTGCTTTGAGTCCAACTCTGACTTCCTCTTCCGGAGCAGTTTCTTCAGCTTCCTGCACATGCCAACAGCCAAGGGTGGAGATAACTTCAGCTAGTTAATAGAGCCTGATTTGCACTTTGCAGTAAAAATGAGACTGTTCTTGCATGAGGCCCAAGTGCCTGGTGAGAAACACTAAATGTTAATATCCAAGTGTTTATGAAAACTCATCAGTTTAATTCATTCTCTTACTGGTAGGGTTACAAAGTAACACACTGTGGACATAACATGCATCTTTGACACATATTACATAAACTTAAAATGTAAAGTTTTAATTGCATTTTTACACAATCTTTACTTTGACTGAAGTGAATTCAAAGCAGCAGCATTTATGAGTTTTGATATTTTTAAACTGCTTTGATCCTTCTGCATCTTAGTGAAATGTTATCTATTATTGCACACTTCTATTACAGTACACTGCAGTGATGAACCAAGACAGAAAATCTAAGACTGACACAGTTCAACAAGGTGTTGTCTCCTTTCCATTTAGTGTGTCTGAAAACCAGGCAGGCATTTCAACGATTCGACTCAGATGCAAGTACAGCTGAGTGCATATAGTGACTTTCTGAACCCACATGTGGTTTTCTTTGTGTTAGTGCCATGTGAAAGACTGTGTTTGAACATGTTGCACATTGTGTGCTTTGCACTTACGGTATGCCAATCTCAAACAGGTTGTTCTGGATGAGCTGCTTGCCTAACATGGTGATGCACAACTGGATGCACAGCTCCATGAGGCAGCCTGCGTGAGCGCACTGGGGAGAGAGAAAGCTAAGATGCATCAGAAGTGGCCAGGAAATCAAACTGAGGCAGAAGAGCACAAAGTTGACAGTGGAGACTGGAAAGTCAAGTTCAAACAAGTGCAAGCAACACAAAGGCAAAGCCCCGTGTTTATAGAAGTTCAGAATATTAAAATACTGGTTCAGAAGAGTACATACTGCAACATGTTTGCTTTCACATCCGTAATAAAGGCTTGTATTTGACTGAGGCTTTACTAGTGATATTCTGTTTCTAATTGCCAATTAACCACATGAAAACACCACTGAATGTGTCCTACTAACAAGTTCTGTGTGTATCCAAAGCCTCAAATATTTTTTTTAAATTTATTTGGTGACATCAATTTGGAAAATCAACAACCACAGCTTTTAGGTTGAGGTGCATTTAGTGTGACTTACCTCCTCCATTCTATACGATCCAACAACATACAAGTAGTTTCCAGGTCGCCCAACAAGCCTGTGGACCAAACATAACCATCGCAAGTCAGATGAGGAAAGCAGCTAGTGTACAGTATGTTTGTGCTGACAATACAGTGTACAGTAAAACATGCTCATGGATACTGTGTTTTGGATTAAAGTGTCTACCAAATGGCAGCTGAGAGCAGCAACAGATCTAAATTACTCAACAAAACAGCAGCAGAGAGAAGTCATTCTTTTACCTGCCCCTAAAAAAGGCCAAGTAGACAATGGGTGTGAAGGCATTGACAAACTTCAAGATAAAGGTTTTGAAGATGAGGCGCTCTTCAAAGCTCTTGTCTGTCTTTGGAACCTCTAAAAAGAGACAATGTGTGACTTTCCCGGTACATATGAATTCATCCAGTAGGTGGTTACAAAAGCCTGTGGCAGTTCTCATTAAACTGACAATTTTCCCTTGATTGTCTTTACTTTTCTAGATGTCTGGTTGTAATTCTCTTCATGAGCCATTTTCAATGCAACACATTTATAAATGAACACCAGCTTGTGCTGGAATATATTTACTGTAGCATTTGCTGTAGGTGTCAAATAAACCTGTATACAGTACATACACATAAGATGAAATAACAACAACAAATATGTGCTATTGAGAAACTTTTACATTTTTGTATTAAACACCAAACAAAGATTGGAGCTTTAAATGGTTTCTCTATTCCTACAAACACATTTGCTTGGTATAAGGATACCTCTGATCCAGCAAGTCTGTAGTCAGAAGCTAATGGTCTGAGAATCATTGATGCATTAAGTGAAATGTGCCTCACCCAGTGTGGTGAGCCAGCGGGCGATGGCACCATAGATTTCATCTAAGACGATGATGATGATGAGGTTGATGATGGCGGCAGTGGTTTTGACAGTTGCTCGGATGTTGGCCCGTGCTGCAGGGTAGGAGCTCATGTGCAGTGCTGCCCTAATGCTAATCCGGTACAGGATGACCCCGAAGACTATGGCAAAAGTCACAGTAATCTAAAGCAGAGAGAAGGAGGAGAGCACCCAGTCTGGCAATCTGCTGATAATCTGACTAAACAACAAAGGCGAGGAAGACATGCAGAGTCTGAGCAGGTGAAATATTCTTCCTCACTTTGTTTCTCCTCTGTTTGTCTCTCTTTGGCTGTGTCCATGTGCATGGGCATGCTGGAAAAGAGAGAATGCAGCCTTCTGTATGTGCTGAATCAGTGTAGTGTGTCCTCTCTCTCTCTCTCTCTCTCCCTGTACCTTTCTGCAGGTTGCCCTGGCTCTGGAACTCGACATCTCTGATGAGCAGTCACTGGCCATATCAACCTGACCAGTGTTTGATTGTTTGTTGTGTCTTGTTGCTTTTCTTCTTTTGTCTCTCCTCTATCCACTCACCCCAACCGGTCGAGGCAGAAGGCCACCCACCAAGAGCCGGGGTCTGTCAGAGGTTTCTTCCGTTAAAGGGAGTTTTTCCTCCCCACTGTCGCCAAGTGCTGCTCAAGGGGGATTTGTTGGGTTTTCCTCTATAATACTATAAGGTCTAGACCTTCCTGCATAAAGTGCCCTGACATGACTGTCGCTGTGAATCTCAATTTAACATTTTATCTTCATTTTGTCTTAACTGATTTTATTCTGTTTTGAATTCTTGTCGTTTTAAATGGTCTTAATGTTTTTCTTTGCCTATCTAAAGCAATTTCAATTGCCTCTGTGTATGAAATATGTTATATAAATAAAGCTGCTTTGCTTTACCACAGAAGATATTTGAGCTGGAACCTTGCTGTCCCTCAGTGTTGTGTTTTCTCAAGGTGATTAAAGTGATATTATTGCTTCAGATTTCCTGCATGTGTTAGAAATCCACAGTGTGCTGATGTAACACTGGAGGTAGACTGTTGAGACTCACCAGAAAACACATCGTGCCCACAATTAACAAGTAAGCTGGTAGTCTGTCTGTACATGTCAGCTTCACCTTTTGGTCCTTCTCACCCTAAAACACACACACACACACTTATGTAGAGGACATAAAGGAAACAGCATGTCTAAAACATTAACCACATCTCCAGCTGAGCATTACAGCTGTATGTATGTTAATATGTGTGTTTCTACTGCCATAGCCTCATGTCTTCCTGTCAATAGCAATTCTTTATGTCATGGGCACGCAGAAACACACAGCACACACACCACAGACATACACACACACTAGGTGGCTCCTGTGAAGCACAGCTAATTCTGTCCTGGGATATCATGTCACCTTCAAGTCTACTGAGAACTGAGTCACATAGTCTGTGTGTGTGTTTTTTGTGTGTGTGTCCTCATGTATTTGATGAAATTGAAGATGTTGGTACAAGACAAACAGAAAAGGCTGATAATCGACATGAACACAACTCTGAACCTCGGCTGCACTTCTCTAGGACATGCCATGTTATACATATGGTCTTTTTAGTCCATACAAACCTGTTTCGATGTTTGATCAGCACACTGTCAGCTGGACGGTGTGTTTTGAATGTAGCTGTGGAATATTTTAAAGAAGTCTGAAACGGACGGACTCTGTAACTCAACCTAGTGTAATCATTTTGGTGAGGTTAAGATGATCAAATAAAACAACCTGATAAAGATGATAACAGTGTACCACTCTCAACAGTATGCAATCCTACAGTATAAAGGATGCAGCAAGCTCTGTAAAGAGCCTTCGGCCAAAATCAGCCTGACATAAGAGGAACGGTGCAGAGATAAATAAATGAATTATTTCATTCACCACCACCTGGTAGTGGCGTTGTCTCCTTTTTTTTTTTTTACAGGAAAGTAGCTACCATTTATATGTAAATAATCAACAATCAATCATCCAATGGATAAAATTAACACTTAGAAGTAGCACAATATGTGATAAATAAAACACATTTGTTAGATAAATAACGAAAGCCTGCTATAATAAGTGACTTACAAGATGGCATTTCTTAAGACCACTCATGTGAATGTTCATGTACAGGATGGTTTAAACACACATTTAAACGTCTTACCAAATCATTTTTACCTTAGTGTTTGAACGTTCCTGTTTCATTCTCTTTTTCGTGACCTGCAGCTCATACTCCGCTCGGTAGTGGTCCTGGAAGACAAACCAGTTTAGATGAAACCACTGTATATTTGTAAGCAGTAAGTGAACAAATCAGTAAACAGTAGGAAGGATCCTTATGTCATTTCAGAATGGAGACAGAAATGAAGTTAATATCCCGTTAGCATGAAGCCTTGCAGAATTAGCATGTGTTTAAGTGAGAGTACAGCACTCTGTGAGAAAGGAGAGAAAGGTACTGACTGATCGGGGAAAGATTCAGAAGAGGACATCAATCTCAGAACAAACCAGCTGAGTGTTGCAAAAGTACAACCATTAACTCAGAGAAACGCAAGTAGCTGTGGACAGTTGTAGCTTGTTATTGTGTGCAAAAGGTGAGAGGAGCGTTAAAGTGAAGCTTGATAATCAAACATTTACTATAACTTTACTATATTTACTATAACTGTGACAGAGGAGCTGAGTACCCAACGCTGCTGAGTTCCACATTCAACTACCTGCACACTGACGAGGAAATGCCACCTAAAGCAAATAGAGAAGCGAAAACTGACGAGGACTATGTTACACTCTTGAATAGGGAAGCGAAAACTGACGAGGACTATGTTACACTCTTGAATAGGGAAGCGAAAACTGACGAGGACTATGTTACACTCTTGAATAGGGAAGCGAAAACTGACGAGGACTATGTTACACTCTTGAATAGGGAAGCGAAAACTGACGAGGACTATGTTACACTCTTGAATAGGGAAGCGAAAACTGACGAGGACTATGTTACACTCTTGAATAGGGAAGCGAAAACTGACGAGGACTATGTTACACTCTTGAATAGGGAAGCGAAAACTGACGAGGACTATGTTACACTCTTGAATAGGGAAGCGAAAACTGACGAGGACTATGTTACACTCTTGAATAGGGAAGCGAAAACTGACGAGGACTATGTTACACTCTTGAATAGGGAAGCGAAAACTGACGAGGACTATGTTACACTCTTGCAGGTAATTGAACTATTGCAGCAGAAGGAGATGTACACTGTGTTGCTGAATCAACAACAAGAACGTTTCAAAGGTTTCGTCAAAGTCATCATGTTAGACTGGATTCATTGGCTAGAGAACTGCAGGATATAAAAACATGTCTACGGTTTACACAAAAAGAAATAGACGATATTAAGGCCTTTACCGGGAAACCCCGGGAAATTGGACGAGCACAACAATGCGTTGCAGTCTGACGTCTACAAAACGTGTGAAAGTTTAATGGCAATTACCGATAAAATAGAGTATTTGGAAGGTCAATCCAGGCGGAATAACCTGGTTTTCGAGGGGATAACGGAGACATCTGGAGAAAGCTGGGCGGACACGGAGCTGAAGGTGAAGAATGTTTTGAAAGAGAAGTTTCAAATTCAACAGGACATGGAGATTGAGCGTGCTCATCGAGTGGGGAGGCCTACCGAACAAGGACCAAGGTCCGTGGTGATGAAGTTCATGCGGTATAAGGACCGATTATACATACTGCAACGCTCAAAGCTTCTGAGAGGCTCTAACATTTTCATAAATGAGGATTTTACCGATTCTGTGAGGAGGAAACGGAAGGAGCTGATGCCGAAGTTACGAGAGGCACGTGCTAGGGGTGACATCGCGTACCTTCGTTACGATAGATTGGTGGTACACTCCAGAACTAATACACCAAAACAAGGAGAGGATAATCAATAGTCATTCAGGTACACCGATGATTGAATCTTCAAAGAGCTCTGGCATCAACACTCAGGTATGACAACTCTGCATGGCAACAAACACGAACTGCTAACAATGTGAGGGGCATGGATTTTGAACTAGATGGATATGATATGATATGGTATGCATAAATAGAGAAACGAAGTTGGGAGGTGGTGTGGCTCTGTATGTAGATAAAAACTTTAGATATAAGATAATGGACAAGTTGTCAACAGCAGTGGATAATTTGTTGGAATGTGTAACAGTAGCAATATTAATGGAAAATAAGAAAAACATCTTAATAAGTTGCATATACAGAGCTCCAGGCACAAGTAATAAATACTTTTAAGGACTGGTTTGAAGGAAATTACACAACAATAAGTAATAAAGTAATGTTTATATGTGGTGATTTTAATATTGATCTGTTAAATCCCAATAAGCATAAAAGAACTGATGAATTTATTAATGTATTGTACAGCTGTAGTCTATATCCCAAAATTACAAGACCCAGTAGAATAACTACTCATAATGAAACATTAATTGATAATATATTTACAAATAATATTGATAATAGAATCACAAGTGGATTACTTATAAATGATATTAGTGATCATCTACCAGCATTTGGGTATTATAGAAAATGAAGACCAAATACTAATCCCATATACAAGCGGGTGATAAATGAAGATTAAAAGGTTATTAAAAGAGGACTTTATGGGTCAGGACTGGGAATCGGTATATAGGGAAGGAGACCCGATGACAAAGGGCAGCCCTGCCGGAGTCCAACATGCACTGGAAACAAGTCTGACTTACTGCCGGCAATGCGAACCAAGCTCCTGCTCCGGTCGTACAGGGACGGGACGGCCCTTAGCAAAGGGCCCCGGACCCCGTACTTGTTATGTAAAAGCAAAGGGCCCCGGACCCCGTACTTGTACATGCAGCGTGAAGTGAGTGTCTGTGCACCCATTTAACAGCAGCAATTTCAGTCTGCAGTAGGCCAAGAGGAACGAAGTGCTATGTATAAAGAGGAAACAGCATCAGCGTCATTTTTCTGTCTACAGCAAACAAACTTTTGTTAAACTGCAATTAGTTCAAAATGGAGCTGCCAAGATTTTGGTGGCAGGAAACAAGAGCACATCACACCTACTTTAGCATCTTTGCAATGGTTGCCACGACTTTTTTTGACAGATTTTAAAATTGATCTTCTTGCTTTTTAAAACCATAATAGGGAGTCCTGTCAACTCAGCTGCCAACAGTGGACATAAAAAAACAGAGACAGTATTGACCTGAGAGGCCACACCAACAAAGGGCCTCAGGGATGGCCAGCATCAGGATGAACCTCAGAGAAACAGATAGGAGCTGCAGAAAATCATTAAAGAGATGAAGAAGATGTCGAGTGGAAAGACCTGAGGATAACTGTTAGACACCTTGAGGGAGAAAAGCTTAGTGTGAGGTAACAGCAGCCGCAGAATGAATCTAGAAGAGAGTCAAAAAGAAGGAATGTAAATTTAAATATGAGACAGCAAGAAGTAAAGCAAGTTAAATTCAAACCTTGTTTTCCTCCTGTAAAATACACCACACACAAAAACACACAGAGAAGCTGTCAGTCAGCAGTCATTGTTAGAGTAAAACATGACAGACAAACAAAACGTCTTTCATATAAAAGAAAGGGCACTGTGTCATTTCATGAAAAAGAATATTCAGTACTGATGTTTAAGGCTGCGATGTTTGTGTGGGGACATTTATGCTGGGGGCTGACTCACTTCAAGTGCAATCAAAAGACAGAGGAGGCACATTTATATGCATATGATGACCTCTGCCTTTATGTCAGCCTTATTACTTTGTGACTGTGCTTTTAAGTTAAGTGCAGTGAAAACCATTTTTATTCTTCACATCTGTTATTATGAGTTATTACTAGGAGTTGAAAATATTACTATATAGAAACACTGTAGAGCACTTTGCAGGATTTAGAATTAGACTGGAGATGCTGGAGACTAACAGATGTTTATAGAAATATAAAGAGGGTGGCTCGTCCAAGTTCTGTATTCCTGCTTTGTTCTATCAGCAATATCCTCAGTGTTACTGAGCATAGAAATGCAGAACTCTCCTGCATAAGTTATGACCCCTACTTTGAATTATTTCTACTCTATTTCTCAAAATCATCTGTAAGGTTCTGTCTGTTTTGGAATGGCAGGTGGCTCAAAATACTATAATACCCATGACCCTCTGCTGCTGTTGCCACAGAAAAGAAGCCAGTCAGAGGCACAAATCAGAGTGGTACAGTGAACTGAAAACATTTTGTTGGAAGTTGGAAACAAAACATGGCACCAAAGTCTCTGAATTCATTCCAAACTCACCCTGAATTTACATGTGAACTGGTTTAAGCTGCAAAATGTGTTTTCAGTTCCCTCAGCTACACATTTTGAAGGTTCCAGCCATGGTTAGTGCAACAAGTAACAGAGATTGACTGATGAAACGCATATTTTCAAACACCTAAATAACTCTACAATAGTTACATTTCTTTGTCATGGTTTGGACTTGCGTCCTGTTTGTACTTTTATTTTGAAGGCATTTCCTGTTCCATGTTATCCCACTTTTCTCAGCTTTACTTTGGCCATTGATTACCTCTAATTATCTTGCCCTGTTGCTCACTGTCTTCATGCCTCAGCCTTTATATTTCCTTCATCTCCCTCAGTCGGATCACTGGTTCATCTGTGCACCATGCTTCGCTTTTGCTCCTGCTTTTTGCCTCCTTCATCACGATCTTCTCCTGTTTGTTGGACTCCTGTCTTCCCTGTCTTCTATACTTTGTGCCTCATCTCTGGGCTTTGGATTTTGATTGTTTAGGACTCACGCTTTCTATGGTATTTGGTTCAATGCATCCTTTGTTCTCTTTGCTTGTTAGTCTTGTTACTTATGTTTTTCATCTCCTGGTATCGCTCCTTGACGGTGCTAGTTGGTTTGCTATATTTCTGTACTTTTGCATTGCATTTAGTCAAGTAGAGTTTTCGAGTTTGATGATATTTCAGAGTCATTGGCTTTCTGTGGTTGAGATTAAAGCCCTGCCTTCTTCTGAACTTCATCTGTGTCTGCATTTGGGTTGACTTTTAATTAATGTAGCCTGGCGGTAAACATGTACTAAGAGGAGATAAATAAACAACTAAGTCGGCCTGAGTCGGCACATGCCTACATGAGTCACTACCTCCATTTGTCTTAAGAATACAAACAGAAAGAACTCAGAAAAAGAACAGAACAAATAAAGAAGAGGAATCTCCAAAGTCTGCATCTCTTCTATCTTTCATCCGAGTGTTTTTGTGTTTTTCTGAATCGTATGCTCACATCGCCACAAGAAGTTTTTTAGCAACAGCATAGTGATTTTTGCACCTTTCCAATGCAACCCGGCAGGAAACTGACCTCAAGAAAAGTGCGTCAAATTTGAATAATTTTTGGCCAAAGTTTTTGCAAATAGAATTTTTAGTAGCAAAGTCGAAAGCCGAGTTTACTTAAGCCAAATCATTTGTTAAGCTCTGAAGACACCATCAAAATGCTCCTGTGACAATCATTTCAATTTATACAAGTTTTTTCCTCGAGACATCACCAAGCACCACAAACACAGAGGGGCTCTGGCAAAACCAGGTTTCGACACAGATCCAGCTGTATACACGGAACCCCTTCTGAGCTTGCAGCTTCGAACGGCGTTCTTGAACTTTGGACCTCCACAGATGTCTATTCAGCCCCAAAAAGGCTTCATAACCCAGCACTTCTCCTTCCCTGGCTACATGAGCCCTGACTAAAAACACAGTCAGTCCAGGAGCATCAGCCACATGAGAGGACATTCACTGAGAAATATTAGCATCTCCACTGAAGTGCTCAAGGGAACAGAGTTCTTAAAAAAAAGCTGATAGATCTGTTGCAAGCTGCTTTAAAAAATCCCTGCCAAATCTAGTGAGAAAATCATTAATTTAGCAACACTGAGCCTGGCTCCATCCAAAGATACAAACATCTGTCAGCCAACACCTCTAAAGAACACTCATCAACATATTATAGGTTGTTTAATTCACACAAAAAGGAAACCACTCACTCACCTAAAGAGGTTAAAGCATGTACTGTAACTCCCTGTAAACCATAACTTGTCCTCTTTGTATTTCAGTTAATGTATGTACTGAACAAACAGGATATAAAATGTTAATCACTGTGTTTTAGATGTGCTGGTAGGTGATTTTAGCTACAGTAGTTGTTTCCCTTTGTTTCCTGTTTTATGTTCAGCTAAGCTAACTGGCTCTTGGCTGAAGCTTCATATTTAGTGTGCAGACAAGAGCAGCATGAATGTCATCATCTACATTTGACCCATAAAGCCAAAACTCTTATTTCTTAAAATGACATATTGTTTTCAACCATACACTCACTTATGTTTATATAAAAAAAGTATTTGTGGTGAAGTCTCACCTGCTCCTCCTCTCCAAAGCCTGTCAGGTCCCAGATATAGTTGAGTCGCATCTGTCGCCTCTTCCAGTGCTCCATGAAGAGGACCGCTACATAGCCAAGCATACACAGCAAACTACACACAGGCTCAAACACACACTTATTACATGTCTGTGGACACTTCTGGCTAAATATGTACTACCACCATCTATAAATAACAGGGGATGTGGAGAGCGAACATGCACGCTTCCATATTGTCATTCATTCTGTACATATTCTTCCTAATCAGGTCTAAAGTAGGTGAATCCAGATGGCTGTCATGCTGTGATTCTGTCTGACGCCATGTTGTGGCTAACATACGGCAGTGTGGTTTGCCAGGACATCAGTGGACAGCTGGCTGTGTGTTTGCTCAGGAGCAGTGTTGTATCACTTACTAATAATAATTCTGCCTATTTTTGCAATTGTAAGTTAAATGTGCACCCAAAGTGCAATAGCTACGTTTTCTGACAAAGCTATATTGAAGGGATTAAATGGCATTATCTGTTAACTGAAGAGGTTTGGAAAATGCTTAGCTGCAAAGCCTGTGTCTGTAATGTTCTGCTCATCTGTTGGTCTTGACCCTTTATTTGCTGTTTGTTCGGTTACATGTGAATGTATCCTTACCCCAGAGGGCCATGAAGATGGAGAATATGACAGTGGCCGGGTTGTCAAAGAGGTGGCTGGCCCGGGCTGTACCACAAGCTGTCACCAGCTTCCAGTAGCTGCAGGCGTGGTCACACAGCGGACACATGGTGATGTTGTTCCTTGAATCACAAATCTCCATACTGACCCCACAGAGGTAGATGGAAGAGATTTATTCAAAGGGGCAAACAACAGTAAACCATAGCAGATGGACTTCAGTTAAAGGCTACATACTGTATAAAGGCTTACAGTTAGGGTGATCATGTTAAAATAATCTATCACAGTAAATTAACTGTACAATGTCATGCTGATATTAATTGTGAAATAGTAAATGCTGTGAAAAAATCAACTGAGAAACTGTTTTTAGATAAATTAACATGGTGGATTTCAACTAATTCAGCAAATGAAATAAAGCTCAATATAAAAGATATGACAAAATTTCAGTTGTCCCATGAATACATTCCATGATCATAAAATCTATCAGATGTGCTCTGTACGTGTGCAGTCTGTAATGACTTGGCATGGCAGTAAACATGCTGTATGTCATTTTGAAGGTATGATGGGTCCTTCCACCAAGATTCATGCCATCCTAACAATGTGCCACTGAGTCCTTCAACCATCTACCAGTGTCTTCTAATCACTTCATTTTGTTTCTGATACAAATCAATTGGTTATAAGAATTACCATGAAGGCATAAACAGTCAGTAACCATCAAACAAAACTAGATTCACATGAATTTGACCATTGATATCAGGCTCAATATGAAACATGCACAAATGTTTTCTTGCAGTAGTGACTGAGACTACTCAAAATGAATAAAGAAAGAATCTATCCATCTAGTCACAAATAACTTTGGAGCAAAGGCTTTTTGTCACTTCTGTTTACAACTAGGCCTGGATATCAAAAACCTCAGTACCTCCTCATATTTTCACATTTTAGAACTTTTTTTGTTAAATAAAAAGAGCCATTGAAAAAATATTAACTTGATGCTGAAACACCAGTTTATATTGGCACCTGTACAATGTAAAACAATCCCCACCCTGTTTTATAAGATTAGTGAGCTGACGCATCAAAACAGTGCTAGATTAGGATGGGTTTACTGTAAGTTTGTGCATCAAAATCAGTTCACATATGAACCTCAGTGACCTCAGTACACTGATGTCAGGAGACTTGTTTTACAACTTCATTGCTTCAGCAAGAAGAGACCGAAAAGACTTGTAAACAGAATGGGAGAAAAATATTTTAGAAACTATTTGGTTTGGCAATAGATGAAAAACAAAAACATATGCAAGGTGAAATGTGTTTGTGTCTGTACCTAGGTATGTTATCATCGACAGTGGCACAGCCGTAGAGGAATACAATGACTCCAATGATGGATGCAGGGATCAGCATCTGTGTGTAGACTCCTAGCCAGGCAAAATACAGTCCAATCTTCTCTCCAAAATACTTCCTGTGGGAGGAGAAGCTGAAGGTGAAAGCCTCTGCATTTACAGAATCATTACATTAGTGGGAAATGAACTGCTATACTGTGCTACCCATAACAAATTAGATTATGTTTGACATAATTACTGAAGCCTAAATTTGTACATCCCTTTCTACTGTCTGGATGTTGCAAATGATTTGCCCCTCAGCTGCTCATTTGCTCCACTGGCTGCTTTAACCCACTTCCTTGCAAACCAAATCACTTAGTAACACTTAAAGTATGGCTGATGTGATGACTTGGTGATAGGGCATCATTTTGCCAGTTAATTATCAGTGCCACACTCCCTGAGCAGAGTGTACGTGATAAGACATGACACACTCCAGCAAATTAAAAGTAAAGAATGGATTAATAAGGGTCTGGGCAGCAGTCAGGGAGAGAGGGAGAGACTAGGGTGCCTGGGCTCTCTATCTAGGGCCATACCACTAGTTGGCATCATAGACTTTCTCCCTTCCACATGGGATAAGGGGTTTAAAAGGTGGATCGAAAACTGAATTATTGTTATTGGCCAATTATTTGAAGGAAATAAACTAAAATCGTTCTCCCAAATTCAACAGCAGATTGAACTGCCCTTTACTGGGTTTTACAGATGTTTACAAGTCAGGCATTATGTGAAAACCTGCCCGGACTGGGACATGGTCAGAAGAACCCCAACAACAATGGAACGGTCTGTTATAGGTATAACAGAACAACGCATACTAACTAAAAAGATTTCCCACCTCTACAGTATTGTTCAAAATAATAGCAGTACAATGTGACTAACCAGAATAATCCAGGTTTTTAGTATATTTTTTATTGCTACATGGCAAACAAGTTACCAGTAGGTGCAGTAGATTCTCAGAAAGCAAACAAGACCCAGCATTCATGATATGCACGCTCTTAAGGCTGTGCAATTGGGCAATTAGTTGAAAGGGGTGTGTTCAAAAAAATAGCAGTGTCTGCCGTTGACTGTACAAACACAAAACTATGTTGTACAAACGTTTTTGTTTCTAGGATTTAGCAATCCTGTGAATCACTAAACTAATATTTAGTTGTATGACCACAGTTTTTTATAACTGCTTCACATCTGTGTGGCATGGAGTCAACCAACTTGTGGCACCTTTCAGCTGTTATTCCACTCCATGATTCTTTAACAACATTCCACAATTCATTTACATTTCTTGGTTTTGCTTCAGAAACAGCATTTTTGATATCACCCCACAAGTTCTCGATTGGATTAAGGTCCGGGGATTGGGCTGGCCACTCCATAACATTAATTTTGTTGGTTTGGAACCAAGACTTTGCTCGTTTACTAGTGTGTTTGGGGTCATTGTCTTGTTGAAACAACCATTTCAAGGGCATGTCCTCTTCAGCATAAGGCAACATGACCTCTTCAAGTATTTTGACATATGCAAACTGATCCATGATCCCTGGTATGCGATAAATAGGCCCAACACCATAGTAGGAGAAACATGCCCATATCATGATGCTTGCACCACCATGCTTCACTGTCTTCACTGTGTACTGTGGCTTGAATTCAGAGTTTGGGGGTCGTCTCACAAACTGTCTGTGGCCCTTGGACCCAAAAAGAACAATTTTACTCTCATCAGTCCACAAAATGTTCCTCCATTTCTCTTTAGGCCAGTTGATGTGTTCTTTGGCAAATTGTAACCTCTTCTGCACGTGCCTTTTTTTTAACAGAGGGACTTTGCGGGGGATTCTTGAAAATAGATTAGCTTCACACAGACGTCTTCTAACTGTCACAGTACTTACAGTTAACTCCAGACTGTCTTTGATCATCCTGGAGCTGATCATTGGCTGGGCCTTTGCCATTCTGGTTATTCTTCGATCCCTTTTGATGGTTGTTTTCCGTTTTCTTCCACGTCTCTCTGGTTTTGCTCTCCATTTTCAGGCATTGGAGATCATTTTAGCTGAACAGCCTATAATTTTTTGCACCTCTTTATAGGTTTTCCCCTCTCCAATCAACTTTTTAATCAAAGTACGCTGTTCTTCTGAACAATGTCTTGAACGACGCATTTTCCTCAGGCTTTCAAATGCATGTTTAACAAGTGCTGGCTTCATCCTTAAATAGGGGCCACCTGATTCACACCTGTTATTTCACAAAATTGATGACCTCACTGATTGAATGCCACACTGCTATTTTTTTGAACACACCCCTTTCAACTAATTGCCCAATTTCACAGCCTTAAGAGCGTGCATATCATGAATGCTGGGTCTTGTTTGCTTTCTGAGAATCTACTGCACCTACTGGTAACTTGTTTGCCATGTAGCAATAAAAAATATACTAAAAACCTGGATTATTCTGGTTAGTCACATTGTACTGCTATTATTTTGAACAATACTGTATAAGTTTATGTTAACTGCATTGGCTGAAGATAATTTGTATATAAAAGAAGAGTGGGAACTGGAGATGAATGTATGTATGGAAAACAGGATGTGGGAAGACGTGCGCTGGAAGCCAAAAATGAATCAATAGTCAAACCTGGAAAGAATTTGAATGGAAACTGAAATTTAGATATTTTATGACTCCAACCACTCTAAAGTTTAATAGAGATCATACAAAAGCTATGTGCTGGAGAAAATGTGGACCAATAGGGGACATTCTCATATCTTTTGGGACTATAAGGTAATACAGCGATACTGGTAAAGTATAAAAGAAGAAGTAAAAAAAATATTCCTATTGATATTCCCCTAGAACCAATTGATTTTATACTTGGAGTGCCTGAAGAACTGACCAATGAAGACCAAAGCTACTGTATATCTTACATATCCTATTAGTGGTGGCTAGTAAATGATAATAATAAACTAGATGAAAACAACATCACCAAACATAACTCAGTGGACTAAAAAACTAGAACAAGTATACACGATGGGATATACGACAGCCCACCTACAAATGAAGATGGACATTGTCCTATAAAGATGGACTCCAGTGAAGATATACTTTACACTGATATGTCTGTAAATACCTGTCGACTCTGCTTAATGTTAATATTAACAAATCTTTAAAACAAAAGAAATGATACACTCCCGATCTCCTTCCTTCAGCTTAGCGCATGACCTGTGCTTCTGTAGAAAGCATCAGTCTGCTTTGTGTGAGTCCTCATCTGTCTATCTTGCCTGCAGGGTGGTAGCTACTGCTGCTGTGAAAGCACCAGCTGTGGCAGGCATGAGGTGAGAAATGTGTCTTTACTGTAATCCACCTGATGTGTGCGGCAGGAGCACTACTATGGATCTGACCTGATGAGTCCAATGGGCTGGTACTTGTAGAAGACACAGTAGCTGGCCCACTCCTCATACAGCAGCTGTGAAGACAACCAGGGGTCAATAATCACTGTGATTACTAATATATTGTATAACATATTTGTATAACATATTAAAGACACACCATATTCTGCAGTTTTCATGTCTTAGTTCAAGTTCAAAGTTCAAAGTGTTTATTTGTCATATGCAGAGTTAGGAAACATGTTTCCCTGTACAATGAAATTCTTACTTTGCCGTCCACATGAATGCCACAAAATACAAATAAAATATAAAGTAGATAAATAAATAACACAAAATCTAAGGCACTTTAAGCAGCAAATGCAGCAATATAATAATAATAAAAAAAGAATATAATAGAGAATGTATGCTGCATGGGAGCAGCATGTGCAGCAGTCAACAGTTATTGTGCAAACTGAGAATGTAAACAGTACATGACGTATTTCCTGGTAATAAACTCCTCAGCTGTTTAGGAGTCTGATGGCAGAGGGAGAGAAGTTTTTCAGTCTAGTGGTCCTGCATTTCACACTTCTGAACCTCCGGCCAGAGGGTAGGGAGGTGAACAGTCCGTGCTGGAGGTGTGTTGGATCTTTGAGGATGGAGGCAGCTTTCCTGCGCACCCTGCGGTGGTAAATGCTCTGCAGAGTGGGCAGTGGAGGCCTGGGGATGA